TATATATATATATATATATATATATATATATATATATATATATGGCGGGCCTGTTCTTGAAGTGCTGATATGGTGTTACGGGATATAGTTGTAATTTCTTGTCGTGACCACGGAAGGGACAAAATGGAAAAACATTATGCCGTTTTTCTTTTTTGGCCAGTGTAAAACTGTCCTAGATGCATATAGTTTAATCCTGGTTTGTTGCTGAATTATGTGATGATGATATCTTTAAAATGTTTTTTTTTAATTACATGAAAAATAAGATAGAGTGAAAAAACAATTTTCTTATGTTTATTCTTGAATTTTTGTTTTACAGTTGTTTGTAAAAATGTATATCAAATAATAAATGCAGAATTAGGTTATGAACGGAACAAGAAGTATATAATATATATGTACGGATTCAACCTAATATGATGTGTATGCTGATTGTCTTTAAAATGTATATCTATTTTGTTGGATAAACTACATATGTACATGTAAATCGGACCAGAAATGGACAGAATTTACAAAATAATGATCTCCAAGATGTATTCTATGTGGATCACAGGAGGTCGTTACGGTAATTACAATAATATCAATAATAGTAATGGAAGGGTCTTTTTGTTTTTTCCCCCCCCCTTTTTTTACTGCATACATTGTGATACAATAGTGTTAATTTTTACTGTGCATATTATAAGTATGATACAAAACAAATTACGGTTACAGAAATTGGCATTTATATTGTTTGTATGCAAATACCTGTCTTTTACCACATACACAAAGGACGACAGAAAAGAAAATAAGGAAACAAATTAAAACGCTGATGTATACACAGTATTCGATTCGATTGCTTTTTCACAGTTTTTTTCTTGAACTTTACTCACTTGGGACAATACTGGACTTTGTTTTGTGGATCATGTGGAGAAAACAACACTGCAGTGATAGGTTTGGTTTGTGATCTTTCAGGTTTACTTTGGATGACGAATCTTTTGATGGCTTGCTAACAATCTCTTTTTAGACGTGTTTTCAGTCGGCTAGTTGACTTATTGGAATTAAATGATATACGTTCTATTGGATATTCTACATGCACTTGCACTTTATTATTTATTTTTAATAGTCTTTGGGAACAATGCTTTTGTAGTGGAGGTCCCGTGAAGGAAAATTTTATTAGTTTGTAGATGCTTCTAGGTGTTGGACCCTCCATCGAAAATGAGATGGTATTAACTTTATGTAAGCAATTGATATTGATCAATAGCTCTTTATTATATATAAGCACGAACAGGGAGAGAAAGAAGAGAAATATTTAAAGGGTCTTTCTCCTCGTGCGAGATGACATATAATTTTTATTTATTTTTTTTTGTCTAGTTGGTGGGAGGTTGCTTCGTGGTTTTTTTTTTCCTTTTTTTTTTTTTTTTTTTGTCTGACCATTGGGATGTGAAGCAGGAATCGCAGTGCCTGGGGCCTTTAACGAATCCTCTTTTCTTGGGGGTTTTCTGACCAATAAAAAGAGGGACTTTCAACGATTTGACGCATAGAAAAAGCAAAGCAATGAAAAAAAAGGGGGAAAAATAAATGCAAGTGAAGTGTGCGGCTTCAATATGAGTAAAAACGAAACATAACTATCTTCTGCTGCTAGCAGTGGATTTTTACGCATTTCTCTCTCTTCTCTGTCTTGTATTATGCCTTTTTTTGTGACCAAACTCTTGTTAAAAGGGATAATATAACGCAGAGATGCGTGGGGGTTTTCGAAGGGGACGATTTGACAAGGTTCCGCAACCCGGGGCAGTTAGTACCTATTCAGAAGCAATTTATCCCCCTCGTGTGTATCATCACTATACTCAACAGCCTAGCTCTTCCGCACCTGCGTTGGCAACAGTTATTGTCCCAAGCATCGATGACGGTGTTGGCGAGTCGCGTGGACGTGAGGGGATTCCTCACAGCGTTGGCGCAATGATGGATAAAAAAACTCCGCCATTGCTTCGTGACTTTGTTGGTTGCTTTATCGATGGTAATCAATATATTGCGAATTCTCGTGCCTTTACAGTTTTAGATTCTGGAAAGGAGCCTCTCAATGTGCTTCATTATCCAAGTTTGCTTGGAATCAGCAAAAAAGACCAAAACGTTGAGGGCTCTATAGCGGACAAAGGTGCATCACAAACTTCCACCGTCGTAGAGCAGCAAATACGTCACTGGGAGGATGCATTAGGACTTCCAGCAGAACTCAGGCTCTATGGACTGGTAAAAGATAGTGGCGAAATGCCAGCCGCCGCAGTAGATCGTCTTCGCATTCGTCCGGCCAAACAAAAACGCATTGTGAAACCGATACGGCGAGGTACGAAGGTGATTGTTATCCCCCTCGCTGGCGCCGACGATGCTCAAGAAATCAAAAAAATAAGACGAACTGTGGTTGAAGATGATGAGGTTGAGGGTGGTAAAAAGGCACAAATAAAACACGAGAACGGCGATCATGATGATGAAGGAAGTGGTGGCGTTTATGACAGAGAGGATGATGAAGCATCATTGTCCTTTCAAGTCGATGACGATGACGACGGCGGTGACTTGGATGGACCTGAAGACAGTGGAGGTGAGGACAATTTTTTTTAACTGCACAGTTTACTATTAGCGGTCGAGACTGTTAGCATCATTTCATTTTGTTCTTTTTTTTTTTTTCTACCTGGCCTAGCAGTTATTGCGGAACGTTTCTTCTGTTTGTTTTATTCTCGGTTAAAAAGGACAGCAGAAAGGAGGAAAAAATAAAAGGATAGATTCTGTGAAGTGTTTCTCCCTATTCACGTTTTTGTATTTTCCTTCTATATGCCTTCTATATTTATTAGTGACTCTATGTTTATTAGTTTGCCTGCTTTTACGAAAGATGACCCCCAACAAGATTAAAACGCGTTTTCCTTGCTCTTTTTTTTTTTTGCTTGCTATTTTTTGGGTGATATTCTATTAGATAACCCACCATGAGCACAAAGGCCCCGAAGTTGTTCAACAAATGGTCGTTTGAGAATCTCCAGACGACGGAGATTGCTCTTAGCGACCACATTTCGAAGACTGCAACGTATGTGCCGCACTCCGCAGGCCGCTGGCAGAAAAAGCGCTTTCGCAAAGCCCGCATCCCTATTGTGGAACGCCTGACAAACGGCCTAATGTTTAAGGGTCGCGGCAACGGCAAGAAGCTCCAGGCCGTGCGCCTTGTAAAGCACACACTTGAGATCATCCACTTGCTGACTGACCAGAACCCCCTCCAGGTGGTGATTGATGCCGTGTCGAAGGGTGCGCCTCGTGAGGACTCGACTCGTGTTGGTTCCGGCGGTGTGGTGCGTCGCCAGGCCGTTGACGTGTCGCCAATGCGTCGTGTGAACGAGGCGATCTACCTCATGTGCAAGGGTGCTCGCGAGGCCGCGTTTCGCAACCTCAAGACGCTTCCTGAGTGCCT